ATAGTCTGGACGATTCCTACCTAATGCAAAAATCGGATAGTCACATACTGCTCAACAATATCGCGGTATCTAAGGCATCCGCAATAAAGGGTCCTCGGTTCTTCCGAAGCTGGTCTTGAGCCGTATGGAAACTGTTTCCGCATGTTCTCAATTGCAAAAAAAACATTTATTAAAACAATTCTATTATTTGAAATAACTTTAAACATAATTTAAATAAAATTACTTAATGTACATTAGAGGTGGTGAGAGTACCAAGGCATCGACTGAGAGAAGTAAGATGTTCTAATCTCCTGTCACCCCTACGCTCCACGAGCGAGATCGAGCGGTACAGTCAGCATCGGTGACCAGACGCTCTCGCTTGGTCGAAAGCAGGGGAAGTACTCATATATCAAAGACTGTAGAAGAGTTAAACAGCAGAAAAGTCTCCGTGCGACCCTCTGCTGGCAATACCTAACTATTTGTATATGTAAGCCAGTGCACCTGAGCCCCAAGAATAAGTCCCAACACTATCCAAGTCCTCGATAATCTCGTACAGGAATTTGGGAACCACCTTGCTATCAGTATAGTCACCAAACAAGGTGGTACCTAACAGCACCCACACCCAGGCAGTAGCGTGATCCACATGTGACCGAGTTGTCCACTCTAGTGTTGCCAAATGGAGGAAACTGTCATTATACCATGCTGCGAGAACAACTACATCGGCTTACTTTTCGTGAATTGCAGCATTTCCATGAAGTAAGCCTATCAAGCGCTAGTATCAGGGTCCGCCGTGACTAACTCTCCCTTTACAAGAACCCTTAAAATGGCCCATACACCATGCAACATGATACTCATTTCACCAAACGACATGTAAAATGAGTTAGTATCATGCTGCCAATGTTCGATAAATGTAGAAATGAGTAGACTGTCGACATGAGTATACATGGAGTCTACCAGATGTGAGAGCCCGGTTTGACCTATCAAATTTCGTGCAGCGGGAGGCATAGCAAGGAGCCAAGTCCTCAACTTCTCGTGTCTATTTTGACATTTTAGTATGCCTCTAAAATTTTCAGTACATATACGGAGACTACATGCCCTAGAAAGCTAGGGATAAAACTCCCATCAAGGGGGCCACCGGTCACTAGGCCTGAAACGATCTAGTCTTCGTTGATAGACTTCTAGATCGTTTGCTGCTACCTGACATTAGAATAGAACATATATACGACATATTGTGACTGACTTTATCAATGATATGTTATTATTAAATAAAAATATGTAATGGTAAACAAAAATAAGTACGTAAATTATTTACATGTGGATGCAGTGCTCGCAAAATGGCCGTCAACACGTGGAGGAGCAAGTCGTGCGGGAGGCTGTCTAGGGGAGGAATGTCCTAGTAATCTCCATACTCAAAACAGAATCCTCTGAGAACTGCAGCCTCTCAAAATGAGACTCATCATAATCAACCCGATGCTTGAAGCGGGACTGCTGAGCAGTCTGTACCGGAGTGAGGTGTCTCGAACCGCAGTTTGGAGTTCCTGATGCTGCATCTCAGCGTCTCTTGACCGACGAGCGAAAGCATCTACATATCGACTCCTAGTGTATCGGGGTCTAGGATGAAAAAAAATCGATATCTTCTATATCAGTGGTCGGTCGCGTTGGCCTACCACCAGTCTAAATTAATAGTTTAAACTAATAATTAGTAAAACAATCTTTTTTAATTCATATGTTTTATTAATTATTATAAATTAATTACAATTGACTATTTATTACTGATAAACTAATCATAATTACTATTGTAGCAAAATATATTTTTTACCGAGTACCAAATCAAATGATTCGTTCCCCGCGTCGATCTCTCGAGGAAGGCGGTTCGGAATTTAGCTTTGGTATCGACCGCACACAAAAAGAAAATAAATCCTAAACACTCTAATTCGATTAGGGTTTGAATAAATTATTTATTAAGAAATAATATAAAACATGAATCTACCTAAAAATGTAAATGGCACAAAAATAAAGAAGCTAGGGAGTCGAGGATGATGATTTTCTAACCAATGCAAATATCAAGTTAAGATCATTTGATTAAATGATTCGATCAACCTAACGTCTAGAAATAGTCATCAATAGATCTTCGTAACAAGAGGATAACATAGACGGTAAATCAAACAAATCACATGTCACATAAACAATACGTTTCCGAACAAATTTTTTTCATGCGAGCCTAGATCGATCAACTCCTCCCCTTTCAGTTCTGAGAGTTGATTAAATATCCTAAATGATTGTTAATCTACTAGTCGTAAGATTTAAAAACATCTCACAAGAATGAATCATATTCCATTGGAAATCAATTGCAAATCGATTCGACAATATTCAACATTCAATGTACGAGAATTATAAACCCTAGTTAAGAACAACTTGCATAAATTAAACGATCAACAACCATGATAATCATAATTAAATTCTGAACATCATCATCATCCCCTATCCCTAGCAAACGAAATAGTTACTCGTATGAAATTCAACACAATCCATCTCAAGAATCCAAGCATTCATATTCAAGGATTAATCGAAAAGGAAAACTTACGATTAATAGAGAAACAAGAATCGAATCCAATGAACAACTTAATTCAGAATAGTTATAAAAGAAAAGCGATCAAAAAACGACCAAATCCGAGTTTTAGAGTAGGAGAAAGTGAAAAAACAATATTGGGGGTTGTTCCCACGAGTCTAAGGATCGTCTCAATATATAGTGCTCGAAAAACGGAGCTAAAACGAGAAAAAAAACAAGCAAAATAAAACACAGGGGCTGAACAGTCACGGCTCGCGAGTCGCGAGTCTGTCGAGTCGTTGGGTCGCTGGGCGACGATCGGAGGCTCTGTTAAAGTCGCGCGTCGCGACTTTGCGCTTGCGAGTCGCGACTTTGGCTGCGAGCCGCGATTTTGGCTGCACTGCATGATGTTACGTTTCGGGCTCGTTTGGGCTCGTCCGAACTTGAAATTGAGTTCCCTTTTTTGCTACGCGTCGCCAACGAATCCCTCTAAATAATTATGATCTCGAAACCAATTTTTCCTGAAGAGAAAGTTTGCCCGAAGCTCCCGACCTATACACCAAAAACGACAAAGCACGAAGAAACACGGAAAAACAAACGAAAAATACCTAAAGACTCAAAATGAAGGAACACACATAATAAAACATGACACGGACTAAAAACGAAAGAAATAACCTAAAACGGGGGAAGAAGAAAAGCAAAACGCGCACGAAAAATGTAACAAAAATGAGACAAACAATTACTATTTCTTAAATCCTAAAGTATTAATAAAGGTTTAATAGTAATTGCCTATTAATAAAATTATACAATTTTTTGAACTTATATTAGAATACTAATTATAGTTTTTAAACTAATATTACTCAACAAACTATTTTTTACATATATTACAACTAATTCATTTCATGAAAATACTAAAGTTAGATACATTATCCTATTAATAATTAGTATTATTATCATAATTTTAATATAATTCATTTTAACTTATATATATAATGTATTATTTGTGAATAACGTATTATTAATAACTACTAAACCTAAATTTATCTAAGATTAATCTAAATCAAAAGATTAATTTAATTCTATTTTTAAATATTTAACCATTTAAAATATTTAAATATATTTAAATATTTTCAATTATGAAAAAAAAACTAATAAAAAAAAA